GGCGGACACAACATCTTTGTTGGTATGTGGTGCTGAGGATSGAACCCGGGCCGCACGCATGCCAGGCGAGCGCGCTACTGCTTGAGCCACACCCCAGCCCTGAAGTACTCTTTTTAAATGTTTACCTTGTAGTTGTAGGTGGACACGCTCTCTTTATTTCACATCTCTGTGGTGCTGAGGTTTGAACCCAGGGCCTGGTGCATGCCAGGMGAGTGCTCCACCCCTGAGCCCCAGCCCCAGCCCCAGTGAAGTGCTCTTTTAAGGGAGTGGACTTAGCTAACCCTGGCCACCACCGAGGAGAAGCAGGCCCTGGGTGGGGGGGCAGCCAGGTCAGTACCCGTCTGGTGGACTCTTAGCAGAGCTGAATGTGGTCAACGCTTGGGTTTTGAAAGGAATCAAGGTTCAGGGAGCAGAGGGCGGACAGAAGAGCCTGCAGCATTGGGTCACAAAGTGTGAACTGCATGGAGGGACGTGAGCAGAGCAGGGGACACAGGCRCGGCAGGTCAGTGGGCTGGAGAGTCAGGTCAAGGCACCTGGGGGGCCAGAGCGGCACCCCGGGTTCGTCCCACTGTCTGTCTTCTCCGTTTCTGTGTCCACGCTGTAGGTCACCTAGAGAGAAGGTCATCAAGTCTGCAGATTGGTACCAGCAAAGAACCATGGTCCCTCAATAACTAGTCTGCTTTTCCAGTCAGTCCTCGTTCTATTCCACAGGAAGGCCATTTTTAAATCTCTCTACTGCCGGAGGCCTCCGCCTCACCCTTCCRTTTCATAGAGAATGACCGGTGGTGTGGCTCTGTGGAGGGCAGGCCTGGGTCAGCACCTAGCACCCCCACAGCACCAAGAGCTGACAGGACCCAGGCGCTTACTCTAAGTCTCAACTCAAGGACTAAAACCTCTCGGTGACGTTTTCCTGATTCTTTGGATAGATGCGAGAATCTCTAAGACCCCTCCATCACAGTGAGTGTGCTAGGATTCTCTGCTAATCYGTTTCTGTATCAGGCTGTAACTCTTGGTGACGCCCCCGCCTTGTCCGTCACATCCCTGGCCCGGTGCACAGTGTGGAAACTGAGCCGATTCACTGTCTCTGAACTCCCCTTCCCAGGTGCTCACGCTGCTCAGGGCACAGGAGCTAGGGAACTGGCCTGCAGTCAGTCAGAACTGGTCTCTTGGCTCCCAGGGTAGCGGCTAGGTGGGGCTAAAGACCTCCCGCGATGGAAGCAGCCATGTGGGCGCGAGCTGCTCACCTGGCCCCCCCCCCCGGGTAACGGGGTCTTCACCTTCCAGGAGGCCTCCACATCACCAGCTCAGCTTYCCAGCACGGAGAGCAGCTGACCTTGGTCTGTACGCTGTGGCACAAGAGAGAAGAAGCCGAGGGGTTCATCGTGTTTTTGTGCAAAGACCGATCTTGGAACTGCTCCTCTGAGGTCAGCCTGAAGCAGCTGAGACCCAAGAGGGATCCCGAGGTGGACGATGTCGGTGACAAGTCCTCTCAGCTGGTGTACACCATCAACAGAGTCACACCAGCCGACAGCGGGACCTACCAGTGCTGTGCCAGGAGCCAGAAACTGGGCCTGCACCTTCAAGGCCGTTTTTTCTCTGTTGTAGTCACAGGTAAGTCCCTGATACCCCTGATGCCCTCAGGCAGGCTGGGAGCAGGACTGACAGCTGGAGAYAGGTGCTCTCCATCTTGGGGAAGGTCCTTCTTGTCACTCAGTCCTTTGCCATCACACCCACTGGCAGAGAGTGCCATTTTCCAAAACACACATGCAAAGGAAATCTCATTGTCTTTAATTCAAAAAGTCTGGGCTGGGGCTGGGCTCAGCGGTAGCGCACTTGGCCAGCATGTGTGAGGCACTGGTTCCATTCCCAGAACCACATATAAATAAAGGTCTAGCAACAACTAAAAAAAAAAAAAAAATCTTGGGAGTGGCCAAGATTTATTGGGGGTGAAAAGAGCTGTCATTATAAATGGCTGGGGCTRGCAAAAACAGGTGCAGGTGTGGGCTTTAGGCTTCCTAACTCCTACTTTAGAGTTCTCCTTAAGATCTGGCTATATTCTAAAGAAGGCAGGGGGTGCATCTGAGATAAAATGGGGGCTTGACTTAAGGAGCATTTAGTTGCAAGAAACAGAAACCTACTCAAGCCACCACGGACTCAAGGGTGTGGGTAGAGATAGAGCAGAATATATAATACAGTTGCCTTCAGCTGTTTCTCAGAATCAGAAATCAGAAAGCTGGGGGGACAGGTGGTGTAGCTCTGTGGTAGAGCACGTGCCTCATGAGGGCAGGTCCTGGGTCCAGTACTAGTACCCCACAGCACCCAGAGCTGACAGGACGCAGGCACTCGGGACCGCGACCTCTCCAAGACAGCAAGGCCTCTGCGCATCTCCTGCATCTTGTGCGTGTCCTCTGGTCCATGACTACCTTGGCAGGCCTGCACATGGCCACCCAGCCCCAACTTCATCGTGGGCCCAGCAGAGGGTGCTTCTCTGTTCCTGTATTCCCAGACAATAGAGCAAGTCTTCCATATTCTGTGAAAAAAAACTATCCCCCCCAAATGTATCCAGCCAGACTACCAATCAACGTCAGCAGGGATCCTCTCAGCTATGAATGACAGAACACCTAGCCTTTCACGGGGACTTTAGAAGACGAACAGAGGGCTGTGCTTCAGTACAGCAAAACAGAAAACCAACAAGTGGGTACATGGGCCCCAAGAACGCGGAAGAGGGAAGGAAATTCTAGAATGAAAAGAGGCCAAAAAGGGGAAAAAGAGGAGAGCAAGAGAGGACTTTGGAAAGGAGAGCTCTGGGGGGTAAAAGGCAGTTAACAGATCACCTTTCTGAACCTATGACAAAKTGATAAAAAGACTCATGACATGGACCTGGAAATCCTGTCAGCAAAAAATTAAAACCAGGTGTTTATTATTTCTAGAAAAAAATGAAATTTCAAAAAGAAACTGCACATTACTCTGCAAGAATAACGTTCACAGAATCTGAATTGGGCTGCGAGTAGAGTGCTGGCCCAGCATGCATGGGGCCCTGGGCCCAATCCCCAGCACTGGGAAGAGGGAACCATCTCATCACCACCGCAACAGAAGGCCGACAGGCCACGTTTAAGCTGCACTATGAACAAGTGGCAATGTGAGCATAGTACTTAGGGAATAAGACATTTAAGAGTTGGCAGCCATCATCTAGGGGATAAATCTAGGAGGATACAAGGACACTGCTAATATCATCTAAAAAATTCCAACACTGTCTTAATTATTAACTTCAAGAAAAATAAATTATCCTCTCCCCCCCCCCCCCACCAAACGAAAAACCTAGTAAGGAGCTATTTGACAAATGTTTTCTTTGTATCCTCTGGTTGGTTACTAATTAATTAAGATTTTGTACTTCACTCTTTTTCTCT